TCTTCCCTTCATCACTCTGGTCCCTAAGAATAGTAACATGTAAGTGCGCTTAACACTGAGTCATTAAATGGTAAGTTTCCTGAAGAGATAATATATTTAGCAGGGCAGTTTAACATTCTGGGTGTGGGGAAATACCCGTCATTATTATAAATACTGCTTTTTAAGTTACTGTTAATTCCTGTGGCCAGCAGAGAGCCTGGCTTCTCTGCTACAGCACAGGGAAATGCTTTCTAACGTGGAAGCAAAGCCAACTCTTTACTTTTTGTCCTCTGCATAGGCTTGCTGGCTGACTCTTAAGAGAAACAGGTGAGGAAAGTAATATACCAGTTCTCTCACCCATTCAACCATAGAGACTGGAGGCATTTAAAGTAGACATTATTGGTGACCTTCCAAATTCTACAGCTTCCTACCACAACCACAGTGTAGTAGAAAAGAGAAAAACAATAAAGTTCTTTCTCTGGGCTCCATCAAAACCATTATCATCCATTAAGTTCTATTGTTCTCATACCCTGTGAGGAGAGAACAAAATCCTATCAGGTGGATTATAACTTTTCTAGAACCAATGAAACCTTTACTAGGCAATGTGGTCAGCAACTACAAGTCATGACTCTCTTTGATGGGGAAAATAATCTTTTGCAACAATCATAGGGACTGACAAAAAGTAAATATGCAGTGAAGTTAAGAATGGAGCTTTTAAACTCCAGTCTTAGGTACATTTTAGGGGTGGGGTGAGACAGTCATCTTTATCCTACAGGATCTACTTGTCTGTCCAATTACTTGCAATACTGGCCAATACTTGCACTATTTGAAAGAGTGACCCTTGGTTTCACAGCTCCCATTGACTCTAACTCATGGCACTGTTTACTAACTCTGTCAAAATCAAGAATCATGGAGCCAGAGCCACCTCCCCCACATAATTTTTCATGGATAACTAATTCTACCTAAGCTGGTTGACTTGGGACTGACTGATTGCGATGAACAAATACCTTCTGAAGGTTCTTTTAGTTTGAAAGAATCCAAAACTGGGCCCTCTCTCTATCTAGATCCAAAGGTAACCTGAGGATGAGGTATTATTTTTAGCCTAAACCATTTAAATTAAAATGGTAGCTTATACATCGCCATATATTGCTTAGAAAAATAATGCATTTAATAACACTGTTCTTTGCTTGAAAGAACACAAACTGAATATTTTATACAACTTCACCATTTCAGAGAATTAATATACTCAGCCATAATAATCAACCTTGCTAGAATTTACCATAGTCAACAACTTAATATTTTTGCTTCAGAATTATGCTTTCAGTTCATCCCTTGAACAAAAATATACTGTTATGAGTACTATTTTTTCTTTTCCTAACTGTAAACATAATTTCCTTATTTTCTCATGTCCTATATATTGCTGTTGTTGAATTTTTGGTCTACATTTTATAAAAGTTAACTTTCCTTGCAGAAAAACCCATGTTAGATGACATAAAAATCCAAAATGGCACACACTCACCTAAAACTATACAAAATATTGTAATAGATCAGGTGAGTGACAGAAGTCTGTCATTCTAAATGGCAGAAGAGTGTGTCCTATGAAAAAGCAGGATTTCCCTCTAGATGTCAGCCACCTGAGGTAAGGTATTTACCCCAAACCTTTCTAATATATAATCTCTCTTAATCTTACCTGAGCTAGGCACAAAATCCTTACCCATCATCTCATGTCAACCTGTGAAGCACATATTGCAACATAGAAACATAATGTATATCTGTATATATGTGTATATGTATATCTCTGTATATGTGCACACATGAGCAATGTATTTACTTGCGATAACTGGATTTGGCTGGAAGGACAGAGATATATACTGACAAGGTGAATTCAAATTAATTCAATAATTATTTAATGCATACTTTTTTGAAATTGCTGTAATGCTGTTTAGTTGCTCAGTCGTGTACGACTCTTTGTGACCTCATAGACTGTAGCCCACCAGGCTCCTCTGTCCATGGGATTCGCCAGGCAAGAATACTGGAGTGGGTTGCCATTCCCTTCCCCAGGGGATCTTCCTGACTCAGGGATTGAACCCGGGTCTTCCACATTGCAGGCAGATCCTTTACCAACTGAGCTACTAGGGAGGTGGTATTAAAATTATATATATAATACACAGGTTCCCTTTTTCAACTCAAGAACAATAGTGAGGAATATAGTATCAACCCTGGAAAAGCTTCTAAAAGCTCTTTGGCACAGATGCACTACAAAAATCTCTTTAAGACATTCTTCTATTTTTAAGCAATTCCTTCAATATTCTAACTGGCCCTTCGATAGAGAAAGAGATGGGGAGAATAACATCTTTTTTCTTTTCATTTTAAACAAGGAGACGGTTAGAGGCAGTTAGGTAGGCTTCAGATTTAACATTTTTGTGTCCACCTATATCTTATCATGATATTAAAAAGGTCAAAATTCCCCCCTACTTCTTTTGTATAAAACTACTCCATTCACATTTTAACACTAGTTCTGTTAGTTTAGAGTATACCTAGTGAGAAAATGTGCATCCCACCATCATCTGTTTGGTCTTGCCTTTCTTTTTCTTCCTTTGGTAGTGCCACTAGTCTTATGGGATCTTAGTTCCTCAACCAGTGATTGAACTGGGCCCCCAGCAGCGAAAGCATGGACCCTTAACCACTGGATTACCAGGGAATTCCCTTTGCATCCCTCACAGGAAGAATCCAGTGTTTCAGCCTACTCACACTCAAATGTCCCTGTCATATCTTCCTAAGAAACATTTCATCAACAGATTATTCCAGATGTAAATGTTCATGACTACATAATAGGATGGAGCAATGCTCCTATTTTACTTTTAGTCTCTGGTCTACAAATATCCAATAATTTCTTGACCTTTTCTAAAAGAAAAGTCACTGATCATATTGAAGTAGTTTCATGAAAACTACTATCAGAGTTTATTTCTAGTTAAGAATATGTTGTCAGTTTTGGGGGTTTGTTTTGGCTTTGGTGGGAAGTGAGTTGTAACTTATCTGGCTTAAAAAGTAAAACAAATTAAAGTTTCAAACAATTGACTAAAGAGGTATCATGATTCCTGATTTCAAACTATACTACAAAGCCATGCTAATAAAAACATGGCATTGGTATAAAAATAGACACACAGAACAGTGGAACAAAACAGAGAGTCCAGGAATAAACCCACACATACATGGACAACTAATTTACAGCAAAGAAGCCAAGAATACACAATGGGGAGAGGAGAAGCTCTTCAATAAACAGGGTTGGGAAAACTAGGCAGCCACACACAAAAATATGAAACTAGACCACTATCATATACTATACATAAAAATTAACTCAAATCTGTTAAAAACTTGAAACTGAACTTCCTTAGTGGTACAGTGGATGGGAGTCTGTCTGCCAATACAGGGGACACAGGTTTGATCTCTAGTGGGAAGATTCCAAATGCCACAGAGCAACTACAGCCCGTACACCACGACTACTGAGCCCACACTCTAGATCCCATGAGCCACAACTACTGAGCCCGTGTGTCCCAACTACTAAAGCCTGAGTGCCTAGAGCCTATGCTCCACAACAAGAGAAGCCACCTCAACGAGAAGCCTGCGTACCACAAGGAAGAGTAGCCCCCACTCATGGCAGCTAGAGAAAGCCAATGAGCAGCAACAAAGACTCAGCACAACCAAAAATGTATAAATAAAAACTTTAAAAAGACTTGAAATTATAAAGTTCCTATAAGAAAACATAGGAGGTAACCTCCCTGACATTGGTCTTAGCCATGTTTTTCTAGATCTGACTCCAAAGGTAAGAGAAATGAAAGCAAAAATAAACAAATGGGACTCCATGAAACTAAAAAACATTTTCTGCATGGTGAAGGAAACCATCAACAAATGAAAAAGCAACCCACCAAATAGGAAGAGATTTTTGCAAATCATATACAATAGCAGATAATATCCAAGCTGTATAATGAACTCACCTAATTCAACAATAAAAAACCAAACAACTCAAAAACTGGGCAGAAGATCTGAAGAGCCGTTTTTCTAAAGCCATTTTGCTGGCCATACAGATGGCCAGCAGGCACATGAAAAGATGTTCAACATCACTAACCATGAGGAAAATGCAAATCAAAACTTCAATGAGATATCACCTCGCATCTGTTAGAATGGCTATTGGTTAAAAAAAAAAAAAAAAACAGAAATAATAAGTATTGGAGAGAATATGGAGAAAAGGGAACCCTCATATGCTGTTGGTGAGAATGTAAACTGGTGTAACCACTATGGAAAACAATATGGAGATTCCTCAAAAAATTAAGAGTAGTACTGCCATATGATCTAGCTGTTTCAGCTGTGTATTTATGTGAAAAAAAGGAAAATTACTAATTTGAAAGTATATACACCACTATGATCACTGAAGCATAATTTACAATAGCCAAGATATGAGAACAACCTAAGTGTCCATGAATGGATAATGAAAATGTGCCATATATATATATATATGTATATACAAGAGAATGCTATATAGCTATAAAAAAGGGAAGGAAATCTTGCCATTTGTGACAACATGGATGGACCAGGAGGGTATTATGCTAAGTGAAATAAGTCAGATTGAGAAAGACAAATAACATAGGATTTCACTTTCATGTAGAATCAAACAAAACAAAAACAAACTCATAGATACACAGAACAGACTGGTGGTTACCAGAGGGTTAGGAGCTGGGGGAGGGTGAAGTAGATGGTGAAGTAGATTTATGATAGTGGTCACTGTAGTGTTCACAAGTACCAATTTATAATGTTATACACCTGAAATTTATATGATGTTATGTACCAATTTTAACTGAATAAAAACAATAGCTAAATTAACATTTTTCACAAATTGGTTTACAGGAAAGGAAATATTCAAGTTAGGAAGTGGTTTAAACAAGTAAGCCTCCAACTAAAACTGAATTCTAAATATATTTGAGTAAGCAAAATGATAACAATTTTTTGAAATTTTTTATACTTACAGGCAAATGAGTAAACACTTGAAAGATGCTTCTCAAAAAATTAATAAGATCCATTAAATAACCACTAGCTCTTCCATCTGGCTCAGACATTGTCCAGTCATAATCAGCAAGCTGAACAAATTCATCAATTTTTTGATTAAGCTTGGTATATATTTCTCCCTCTGCTGCATGTCGGGCATCCTGACCGGATACAACAAAACAAAAAGTAAAAAATAAGTTACAGAATCAGGTAAAAAAAACAAGTTTTCTTAAAATTCCAAATTTTATGTTTTATATTTCTTTGGTTTAACATTTTAAACATTTATTCAAAATCCAACAGAACTGTAGGATTTCTGGTTGAAAATACTCTATTTGACATCACTTCTTTTCCCCAACCTCACCTTTACCTTTTTTGTCTTTTTTTGGTAGGATAACTTATTAGTTATCAATTCTGAACTGTTCTCACAGCTCTAAGACCCTTGGGAGAAACAGAAACGGAAAACAAAAGTTGTCAAGAATGCAGACAACTTCTATCCACTGACTCACTGAGGGAAATTAAGTTGGACTATCACTTAAGAAATGAAATCATTATTGGTGTTTTGAGTAGAAGAGTTCCCCCTCCCTATTGCTCCGGAAACAGTTAACTTCTCAAAAGAAGATAAAAGAAATGGAGTGACAAAAAAGAGCAGAGTAAGAATACTCATTTTCTGATCAATTAAAGCAACAAGAAAACTAGCAAAAATTGTCAAAGATCACTTTTTCCAGACGTCTGGAAATTAATTCAAAACCTGCAGCATCTACTTATGAAAAACTGCTGAACCTTGGTATGGAAACAAGCTCTGTGATGTTTTAATGTGCCCCATTTCCACTTTTCCTCCCTAGCTCCAGGTTTACAGTATCCTTGAAAATCAGTATCCCACAACTGTGATACAAATCTGTGTTGGCCTTTCAGCCAACACAGTGGGGGCAGAATGAGTTGGCACTCCTTTAAAGCCATATTCCCAGAGAATTATCATTATTTGATCTAGCTGGTAATTCCCTGGAAGATCTCACTTGCAGAGAAGGCTTTACATGACCTAAAAACAGGATTGTCAGGAGCAAAAAGCCTTTTTCCTGGGGGCATTTGTTAAAAACAATTAGAGGCAATTGTGTAACATCACAGACACTTTAGGTGGTAGATAACAACTAGGGTACACAATAAGCGAACCAAAAAGCTTAAAAGGAAAAACAGGGTAATGAAATGTCCATAGATGGCTTTGAAAAGCTCTGACATATTCCTGGGAATCTAGAAGACTATGTACATGTGTAGGGCTGTGAACATACTCCAGAAAGACCTGAGAAAGCTCTAAGCTCTCATTTACAGCTGACCCTGAAGTTCTGTGCAAGGATGTGAAGGTTAACGCAGAGGTGTCAAATGCCTGATTGCTGAAGGCGTGCCCCAATAAATACAGAGAGTCCCTCAAAAAGAATGGGAGACTGATTGGTTCCAGATTTTTATGGAAATCTGTGTCCAATCACTAGCTGGTCACTAAGCTAACTAAGCAGAGACTTCAGTGGCCACAGATGACAAAAAATACAGACTTTACAGAATTAATTCAGAAAAGTCATGAAACAACCAACCACCTACCAGGAAGAAACAACAAACCTTGGGGAGAAAGGAGAATCTGATTATCAGAATTGCCACATTACAATACAACTTTATTTTAAATTTTTACTGGCATATAATTGATTTACAATGTTGTGTTAGTTTCAGATGTACAGCAAAGTGAATCAGTTATACATACATAGCCCCTCTTTTTTAAGATTCTTTTCCCATACAGGCCATTACAGAGTACTGAGTAGAGCTCCCTGCGCCACAGAGTAGGTTCAGTTAGTTATCTATCGTAGTGTGCATCTGTCAACCTCAATCAATATGTCAGTCTCAATCTCCCAGTTTCTCTCTCCCCCACTTAGCCCCTGGTAACCATAAGTTTGTTTTCCACACCTGTGATTCTACTTCTGTTTTGTAAATAAGTTCATTTGTACCCACTTTTAAGGTTTCACATACAAACGATATCATATGGTATTTATCTGTGTCTGACTTACTTCACTCAGTATGACAATCTCTAGATCCATCCATGTTACATTATTTTAAATGTCCAGTTTTCAATAAAATTTGCAAGTTGCACAGAGAAACAAGAAAGTATGAGACATTGGACTTATAAGACAAAGGTTTTAAATCAGCTCTTTAAAATAATCAAAGAACTAAAGGAACATATGAGAACAATACCTGACAAAATTAACTATAAAGAGATAAAAACTACTTGAAAATAAAGAACCTAAGAAAAATTCTGTAGTTGAAAAATACAATAAACGAAACAACAACAAAAAAATCACTACAGGAGTTCAACAGCAAATCTGAGCAGGCAGAAGACAAAGACGATTTGATCAACAATATAAACCAACTAGGCCTAATAGACATCTATTGAACATTCAACATTAGCAGACCATGCATTAGTCTCAAATGAACATGGGACACTATCCAGAACAGAGCAAATGTTAGGTCGTAAAACAAATCTTTAATGCAAGGTTCCCCAACCAGGCCATCTAGCAGGAAGTGAACGGCTGTGAACCTAAAAATCATCCACCTCCCACTTTACCCCATCCCCACCTATGGAAAAGCTGTCTTCCATGGAAACAATCCCCGGTGCCAAAAAGCTGGGACTGGGGCTTTAAAAGACTGATATCATACAAAGTATGTTCTCTGACTACAATGGAATGGATATTTCTGGCAAAACTAATACTTACTGGAAACTCCCTGGTGGCCCAATGGTTGGGACTCCATGCTTTCACTGCTGAGGACGCAGGTTCAATTTCTGGCCAGGGAACTAATATCCCACGAGCCATGCATCATGACCAAAAAGCAAAACACACACACACACACACACACACACACCCAATACTTATTTAAATTCATATCTTGACTAAGAGGAGACCTAAGTATCACTCACCATTATCAATCACATACATTTTAACACAACTTAACCTAATGTATCATTTATATCATGTCCTATGAATTAAAGCAGTATAAAGACACTGAGACATCTTTCATCCTCAAGGATCTCACAGTTCAGGAAGAGAATCAATATTACAAAACATTATTAGTGCTACCAAGGTTCAATCCCTGGGTTGGGAAGATCCCCTGAAGAAGGGAATACCCACCCCAGTATTCTTGCCTGGAGAACTCCATGCACAGAGGAGCTTGGCAGGCTACAGTCCACGGGGTTGTGAAGAGTTGGACACAACTGAGCAAAAAACATTTTCACTTTTATCAGAGGAATAAAACAAAGCAGGCTGAGGGACTTCTCTGGTGGTCCAGTGGTTAACACTCTGAGCTCCCCAAGCAGAGGCCGGGGTTTGATACATGGTTGGGGAACTAAGATCCCACATGCCTCTGGCCAAAAAACCAAAACATAAAACAGCAGCAGTATTGTTACAAATTCAGTAAAGGCTTAAAAAAAAAAAAAGAATAGAAGGAAAGAAGCACATAAAAAGATTTCATTATATCTTTTTTTTTTGTATTTATACACTAGAATACACTGAATTATTTGGTAAGATATTTCTTAAAAAATGACCACTAATTATCACTTATGAGACTGTTAGGAAAATCAGTTTGGACTTCCTAGAGAGTAGTACTACAGTTGAAACCAAACACTCTCAATCCTTATGATCTGATTAGATAGTCAAGAACACATCAACTAACTCCTGAATTAAATTTTAAATGAATCAGCTTATAAACAAATTTCTTCTTTGCTTCTTAAGGGGCTTCCCAGGTAGTGCAGTAGTAAAGAATCTGCCTGCCAATGCAGGAGGTGTTAAGAGAGTAGGTATGATCCCTGGCTCAGGAAGATTCCCTGGAGTAGGAAATGACAACCTACTCCAGTATTCTTGCCTGGGAAATTTCACTGACAGAGGAGCCCGGCAGGGGTCCCAAAGAGTTGTACATGAATGAGCACATGCACGCACATGTGTATATGCTCTAAGAGTTGTACATGAATGAGCACACGCATGCACATATGTATATGCTCTCTCTCTCTCTCTCTCTCTCTCTCACACACACACACAGACACACACACACTCTCTCTCTCTCTCTCTGCTTGTTAAAGAAATAGTGCCCTCTGGAGGCAGAAACATATTTCACGTAACTTGATGGACAGAGGAGACTGGTGGGGGTCCCAAAGAGTTGGATATGAATCTCACACACACACACACACACACACACACACACAGCTTGTTAAAGAAATAGTGCCCTCTGGAGACAGAAACATATCTCATGTAACTTAAGAACTTTTTTATTTCAACATACAAAAATTAAGTGATATCATACTATCATCGGTTCTCGACCACAGATGTGCAACAGAATCACTCAAAGAACTATTTTAAACAGATACATGCACAAACTCCACGGTAGTCCTCATAGACCATAAGCATATGTGCTTTGAGTAAAAGATAAGTAGTAATATCATTGAAAATTTTAGTAAACATCTATGATTTATTGTCTACTATCTTTTCTCCCTTCTTGGAAAAGTCTGCAAATACATTTTGGAAAAATCACTCGGCCGCCATTCACAGCTCTATTTGGTCTGGATAGAACTGAATCTCTGTCTAGTGCCAAGGATGGAGCCTGGTGAGCGGATCATCCTCCGAACTCACAGGGCGTTCCACAGCAGCTAGCTATCTGCTTTCAGAAGGAGAGAGCATGAGGATGTCAGGTTTAAAACTGTGACCTCGCAGCCATTTTGCTACGGAGAAGAAGACCTACAGCTGCCATTATAGTCTGAAGACGAGGCCCAAACTACATAAACTGGAGTTAAAAATTAAAAGATGGAGGGACTCTGGACACTCAATTATACTTTAGGTTTTCCTAAGTTGTCATTCTCTATATTTGTCTATTTCTCCAATTTTGGTGGCAGCAGTGTGGTCTGTGATTTCACTTCTCTGAAAGATCAAGGAAGAATTGTTGATTTTTTCACAATCTTCTCAGCTTTTTACTTGTCGGGACAGAGTGACAACTTCCTAGCTCTTTACATGCCAGACTGGAAAAATGGAAGTCTGTGTTCACTTTTTAATAATAATTGAGCTATATCTATTTATAATTAGTGCCTATATAAATTATGTATGTTTATATATGAATGTTACATTTTTAAGTTTTTTTTAGAGTCCATGTACCAGCTTCACAGGAGGAAAATTTCAAGTCCTTAATCAAAGATGTAATTTACCACTATCACTTTAGCCATAATAAAAAAAAAATTGCTACATACTCATCAACAGATTAAAAAAGGCAAATTGACGAAGAATCACAAGTATATACTTCCTAGGCACTTACACCTGCAATTACTGCCAGGACTCAAAAGGAAAGGACTCTTCAGGGTGGCAGGTTGGAAATGCTTCATGGAGCAAAGTTAAAGAGCTCTGATGCCAAAGAAAAAGAACTGGGCCACTCCTTTACTACACAGATTAAAAGGGGAATGCTATTCCTGCTTTCCCCTCTATTCTTATGCAAATCTTTCTAGTTAGAAGTCTTATATTACCTTCAAGTAACTCTCAGTGTGGGTCCACGTTAACTTCAAAAAACTGCGGTACTACTGAAGGGCAGGAACCATCTACTTTATCACTCACAAATTTAGTACAATGAAAGGCAAGCTAAAACGAGACAGTCTATACAGTATTTCATAAAGTAAACAAATATATAAAATCAAGCACTTTGTATATGTATATGTGGGGTTTTGGAGGGGAAGCAAATGGATGTATGGGTAAAAGGATCATGCATACAAGTGCTTATTTCTATAATCATTAAGTAACTTAATAGGAATATGTTTAGTCAGGCCATTGGACTGAAAAAAATTAGGCTAAGAGGTTAACTAAGCAATCCATGCTAATATCTGTAATCAAAACTATACTTTAATCATCTACAGACTACTGACTATGAATGGAAATTCCCCCAATCTCCCTCAGGAATTCACTTTAATATTGATTTAACAATTCTCCCTGTTGAACTGCTTTCTTGTATCACAGTTTAAGATAAATAATTCCTCTTGAAACAGATCAAAGGCAGAACTGAAGAACACTTAATCTTCACATATTGAGCTTGAAATAGCTCTTGTTTTTATATCATCAAACAGAAAGGGTTTCCTAAGTCCTTTGTGAAAATAAAAAAAATAAACAATAAAAAATAAGGATGCTCTACTATTTGTACAAGCTGAACTCGATTTCCTGATTTCCAAGAAAAGTCAAGGAGTATATCTTATGACAGTTGTACTTTCAACTAAATATCTACAACTTAAGGACCACTGGCAATATGGACCAGAGCTCGCATTTCTAAATGTTTCCTCCCAACAGGAAGACTTTGTGAAGTATATGTAGTTCCAGGATCCCTTAATCTAAAGCATTATGTTCCAGTATCTGTGGCACTCTGACTTACAACTGGTAAGAAAAATTGCTTGACGATCCCTTGATCAATGCATTTCATGTTTTAATCAGAGTATAGAGTTAGCCTATTGAATATAATGCCAATTGTTAAATATGCTTACAATTCCAGTCCCCAGTAAATCCCTTCTTGACAGCATATGAGTAACACATGGACATAAGGACAGAAAACAATAAAGAAACAGGATTGTATAAAATCTAACATTGAAGCAAAGAATCAATCAGTCTGTGGATAAATAAACGTTCACAAACTTGTGGAATCTATTTCTGTGTTATGGTACTTCTTATATCATATTTTCAAGAGTACTTTTACAGTTTTCCCTCCTGAGCTCCTTGAGGGCAGGGATTTATTTCTCTATTTTCAGCACCTAAGAGAGTGCTCAGAGCACAGATCATGTACAACAAATGGCACTGCGCTAAGTGTCCCCTTTAATCCTCATTAACTGTATGACACAGATAATATATTACTACTCTAATTTTATAGATAATAAACCCATGAGTCATTAAAATGAAAGAATGTGGCAAAGTCACACAGTAGTCTAACTCCAGAGTATATGCTCACAATTACTGTACTATTTGCTGCTATTCACTCGGTTGTATCCAACTCTTTGTGACCCCATGGACTGCAGCATGCCAGGCCTCCCTGTCCTTCATCTTCTTCTGGAGCTTGCTCAAACTCATGTCCATTGAGTCGTGATGCCATCCAATCATCTCATCCTCTGTCATCCCCTTCTCCTCCTACCTTCAACCTTTCCCAGCATCAGGGGCTTTTCCAATGAGTCAGTTCTTCATATCACATAGCCAAAGTATTGGAGCTTCAGCTTCAGCATCAGTCTCTCCAATGAATATTTAGGATTGACTGGTTTGCTCTCCTTGCAGTCCAAGGGACTCTCAAGAGTCTTCTCCAACACCACAGTTCAAAACTGAATAAATGAATGCCTGTTTTGTCCAGCTTCTATCTCACTTGTAATAAACAATTTTATTAATTTGTCCACTCAGATATCATCTGCATTTGTGTCTTATGGATCAGGATGGCTACATGTGCTTAAGAATCATCAGAGGAGCAGAAGATTTGGGGATCAGGCTGCTAATTTTAGGAAACTAAGGGTCTTCTCTTGACTTCACACTTTCAAAGTCTGATTACTGTTAACATTAGTTATATCTAAATACAACTATACTGAATTTCTAAAATATAAATGATTATACTATGATCTTAAGTGATAAACTGGGTAATTTATCATGACATCCCAGGTGGCACAGTGGTAAAGTATCCACATGCCAATGAAGGAGATGCAAGGGACATGGGTTTGATCCCTGGGTTTGGAAGATTCCCTGGAGAAGGAAATAGCAACCCACTCTAGTATTCTTGCCTGGAAAATTCCATAGACAGAGGAGCCTAGCAGGCTACCCTACAGTCCATGGGGTTGCAAAGAGTTGGACACAACTGAGCACACACACACAACATCAAGTAGTAAGAGTAGGGAGATGAGAATTCTTTTTAATAGAAAACTTAGAAAGGGTTATGAGGTTAAACTAGAAAGCCTACTCTACAGATAAGGAATCAGTAAGTGGTTTATATTAGTTTAACAAAATATTCAATGCAAAGGATTTATTTTGTTAAGACTATGCCAGTGTCCCATCTACATGATCCCAAATTAATAAAATAACAAAATAACTTAAAAAACAAATTTACAAATTTAATCTTCTACTCTGCTTACAACAATCATTAATTAATCTTTTGGTATATTCCACAGTATTACAAAAACAAAAATCTTTCCATTGAGAAAAGGGTAGGATTTGGATAATAATGTAATAAAGTAATATTTGTTTTTCTTCAGATCAGACTCAATAAAGGATGTAAAGCAAATCTTATACTTACCTAATTCTTACATTTTAAATTTCCAAACATATACACACACATATATATTACATACACAATTAATTATTAAACTGTGAGACATGAAAGAAAATTCATTTATACTGATTCAGCACTATTCTTAAGTCTTCAAAACATGAATAATATGTAATATAGCTATAAAAAATTAATATACTTTTTCTTTTAACAAGATGTTTAAAATGCCCAAAAGGAACTGACATTTATTTGCCCACTGTTGACAATAGTTACCTCTAATTTTCAATTATTAGAAATATAATGGCATATAACAATTATACATATAACAAAATATAAAACATTATATATATATATACACATGTATACAAATATATATACACACATGTATACAAACATATATACAAATATATATACATGTATATATATTTTGTTTGTCTTTACTCTTTAAAAGTTTGCTTACAGTGATTGAGATAAAAACTTTTGGTCAGATTTTTACATACCTTAAAAGTAGAAAGCCCATAAAGTCTTGTGGTATGGACGGTTTCTTGAGAAATATTTGTAATGTTAGTTATAAAGTCCTCAAGGTATTTGCAGGCTTGTTCTAGGTGCGTGGTATTTATGATGATTTGCACTAGCTAGAAAATAGAAAATATCTCTGGTAAAATACATAAAAGGTTACATGTATACAACATCATTACATTTTTAAAAACAGGATTATTCCTTTCAGCAACTGCACCATTTCTGCATAATTATAGCAATATAGCATACAACTGATTATCTGATATCAAAGCCTGCTACAAATACTGCTTACAAATGCTATCATTAAAAAAAAGTCTATCAATTAATTTAAAATAACTTTTCAAGATACTTCTTCAAGTTTTATACATTCACAAAGTTAAAAGAGAATATTTTCACTTTATGTAAAGTCTGACAAACATAAATCTCCATACATCTTCTAACATCTTCACCTATCTACTATTCTCCATGTAAACCCTTTTCCCTCAGATCACTTGAATTTACAATGAGACTTTTGTTTTAAAATAAATCCACTTCTATCAATAAATTTAAAATGAGTAGTTTTATAGGATGATGTTCAGCAATAAATTTATAATAATTGTTTCATACAATGAAACATTTAGCTATAAATATCTTTTTAACCTACCTCTGTCAAACCTATATGAGGTTTTTTAATAAGATTCAGTAAACAGCTACTCAAAGTTCTGGTCAGCAGCAGATTTGTAGATTTTCTAAGCATATCATCTATTTCTGTTGAGCTAAAAACAAAGGGTGATATCATTAAGCTTTTCACAAGGGTTACAGTTACTTAGCTTCCTAAATAATTTAATGCAATTTACTAAAGTAACTCGCTTCAATTTTTTTATATTGTTATATAAATTACAATCATTCATATTTATTAACTCACATGTTTCAGTTCAATTTAGTTTCATAAAAAGGATACTTGCCATAAATGAAAATGTTCATTTATAGAAAAATTTAACTGTATTCAAATAACCATTACAGTAAAACCATAGGGTACTTAGTATAAGGAAATAAAACTATCCTTAAATTATGACTTCACAGTGTGACAGCCAACGACACTTTATATGTGTGTATATAAAGACAATTTATATACACTTTAGTTAAAATACAAATTGATGTGAACCCTCTGGATATAATTAATTGCTAGATTCAATTTTAATATAACTATCCATTTCCACTGAGTTTTTTTTTTTAAAGATTCAAAGAAATTAACTGCCTTACACTAGTTTTAATTTGGGAGAGGGAGGAACTAAGTTTATGTTTCTTAGCATCCTAAACATTGCTAAAATAGGACTAAAAAGACTATTTTCTTCTAACCACTAGGCCTTCAATTTAAGTAAATAATGATATATTTTTTGGTATACAGCCTCATAAGCAAAACAATTAAGCTGTGTCCTAGATCAAGTTTTCACAGTCTTAACACTACTGACATATATACAGGCTAGATAGCTCTTTTTTGTAGGGCTGTCTTGTACCACTGAAAGATGTGTAGCAAGATCCCTGGCCTCCATCTGCTTGATGCAAGTAGCACTCTTTCCCCTAGTCGTGACAACCCAAAATGTCTCTGCTGCTAAGCCACTTCAGTCGTGTCCGACTCTGTGCAACCCCATAGACGGCAGCCTACCAGGCTCCCCCGTCCCTGGGACTCTCCAGGCAAGAACACTGGAGTGGGTTGCCATTTCCTTCTCCAATGCATGAGAGTGAAAAGTGAAAGTGAAGTCGCTCAGTTAAGTCCGAGTCTTAACGGTCCCATGGACTGCAGCCTACCAGGCTCCTCCATCCATGGGATTTTCCAGGCAAGAGTACTGGAGTGGGGTGTCATTGCCTTCTCTGCAAAATGTCTCTAGATGGTGTCAAATACACCTTTGGGGGGAGAAACTGCCCCAGTTGAGACTCACTGCCTCAAACACAGTCTAACATGTTAATTTTAGCACCCTTTTACTTTTTATTTGATTAAAATATTACTCTTACAAATCTATGAAGCACAAATATTTACTCATTTATATTAATATTTAAACATGCAAATAGAGCAAGATTTGATAAATCACAGGTAATTTTCACTACTATCCTAATGTTCTCCATTTTAATGCAGGAACTCTTCAAAATGTGCCAACTCTAATTCTGGCAGACCTGAGGCGACTATGTCTCTCTGATTCTTTGCATCTAAAGTCAAGACTGCCCAGGCAATGTATATAATTTCAGTAAGGTTTCAGGGTTACACAGCAGCAAACTAACAGAAAACTATAATCTATCAATAGTGTCCCTAGAACAAGCAACGTACTCACACTGATAAAAAGGAGGTGGTTGCCAACTCCTCTGGTTTCTTTTCTGACATACTCAAAATTATGCTTAAAGACACCCTGTATAGCATACTTTTCAGATGAAAAGTTATCCATGACAGATAATGTCTTTTAAGTCCCCTGAACTTCCTTGAATGCTGAAATCAATGCATCTTTTTCTTCCATAAGTAAAAGCAGAGAAAGAAAACCTATTAGCACTTATGTCCTATTGGTAACAACAATCACCAGGATTTCCCCCACAAGGCTTTTAGCCTAATTGAGCGATTTTTTCCCTTAACTCTTTGTCTTTTGAGATTATAACTTGTACTCTTCCTAATTTTTAAATAGCATTTCATAGTAATTAAATATTAATATATAATAAATCTCCTAATTATGTTATAGCTTAACCTTTTATGAAAACTGAAAATTTCTTAAAGGTCATATTAGATCCAGATGTTTCCTCTGCAACCAAATAACAGAGACTTTGGAGTTTCTTCATGAAGTCATTTCATTCACTGGTCCTGCTTTTATTCACATATAAAAAAAAAAAAAACCCCAAACATTTTTACTATAAGAGCTCTAAAGCATCTTCTTGTTCTAAAAATTTAACTGCAAAATATATTTAAACATAATAAAAGAGCTTTAAACACACAAATTTATTTTCCATAACTCTTTTACTGACAAATTAAGAAAAAAAGCAACTCCAGTAGCTCAATTTTAGATCACAGATATAAATTTTTTAAATGAAAATACATGTCAGAAAGCTGATAACCGAGAATAAATTTATATACTTTCATACTAACTATGCTGTTTCTGTATTCTGAGGTAGTTATTACTTCATTAACAAAACAAAAATAGACAATGTACTTAGTAAAGCTAATTTTTTAAAAACATAAGCATAAATGCCTTGCAAGATGAATAACACAGTATCAGAGTTAATGAGAACTGAATACTAAAGTAACAAAATGACAATATTTTTATTAAGAAGAGAAGGAAAAACTAGACAATCTTTCCTGCTGTAGCATTAATATACAACATTTACCTTTTAGAATGCTACGAGTTCATACATAAAAAGAATCAGAACTGAGGGGGAAGTAGGGGAGCTTTTGGGAAAATTACACATAATATTGTGACTAATGGCTTTTATCTTTGGTATTACAAATGCTGTAAAAAAATCAAATAACAATAGAGATCCACTGCCTCTCCTCTGTAAAAAAACAAAATAAAAGTTAATTCTAAGATGCTAAATTTCTCTACTTCCTACCAATTAACAGTATCTTAACTAAGTATCAGTCCTCTATTTCAGGAATCAACAGTTAGATTAGATACTAAACAATACTTGTAAGGATATACATATTATATATGATACCCAGTGTTAAAGTAATCTATATTTAAAGGGAAAATGAGGAGGACCAGTTTATAGATTCAGGATTGCACCTTCAAGAATAATTCTACTATATAACATTTGAGCCAATTTGTTGTAGGGTGACTGTTCAGATACTTCCTTTTTCTCCTTTTCACTTGCATACTTTACCCCAAAGTAAAAAATGAATGTATGTTATCATTGTTTTCAAAGGTAACTATAACCAGAATCAATTTGAGTGTATATAAACAAAGTTAAGTCCACCCACGTGTAAGTCAAATTCTTTTTTGTCCCTTAACTTCTTCATCTAATTATTCATAAATACTCTAATTTTAGGGCTCCTAAACACTTTTTTGAGTGTGTGCGTGTGTGTGCAATGCCTTTTTATTAATTATATTGAATGAGTTTTACTAGATAATTCGTATATGGACAATTTCATATATGCATTTAAGATAAAGACAAATCTGATATGCACAGGTTTATCATAAATACCACAAAAGTGCCATCCACCAAGAGCATGATTAAAATAACAAAAAAACCAAAGAAGATTAAAAAAACTCAAAGAATATCTAAAATCATGACATTAAGTTGATAAAAATTCACTTTATACATGGAAAATTATCCATATGAAACAATTCAGGTGAATAAAAGTTATAAATTGGTGCAAACTCAGGAGTGCAATAAAAATAACCTCTGAATCAAATAATGTAGCTGATAGCATTCAGTTAATGAATATAAAATAATGCTAAATAGTCCATCTAAAGTCAATCTGGAATCATGATCTGTTGTTATGGTATCAGTGAAAATGAAAGTGAAAAGTCACTCAGTCGTGTCTGACTCTTTGTGACCCCATGGACTATACATTCCACGGAATTCTCCAGGCCAGAAGACTGGAATGGGTAGCCTTTCCCTTCTCCAGGGGATCTTCCCAATCCAGGGACTGAACCCAGGTCTCCCGCATTGCAGGCAGACTCTTTACCAGCTGAGCCACCAGGGAAGCCCAATGGTATCAGAATTACTACCAAATTGATTATATATTTCTAAAAATAGCTTGTTAACTATCCTGATTCATAAAGTGTGTGACTGTGATATTGACAATGAGAGAAATTTGCATAGGTAACTATCTTTTATAGCATGAAACATTTCTCATCGACGTTCTGAATCTCTACTACAAAGTGATGTGGGGGAAAAAAGACATATCATCAAACGATATGAAGAAAACAAGGAAATCACTAGATATGAAAGAATTGTTTGATCTGAGCAATCAAAATATATGTTTTGTAATACACTTTGTGTTTTGAATTAAAATAGTAAATGCAAACATTTAATTGTGTTTATATTCTCTATGTTAGCATTTTGTTATATGAAGTTCCTTCTATCCCCAAATAGTAAATTTGGGGTTGAAATGCAAATTTTTTATAGTCTTCATTCCGGAACAAATTCACATGACAGACAGTAAAGCTAATAGGTGATTTAGTTATTATAATTTAGGTTTTCAAGTTCAAAAGACAGCACAGAAAAACCTGACAATGTAACACTGTATTGTTTTAGTCACTAAGTTGTGTCCACCTCCTTGCGACGCCATGGACTGTAGCCCACCAGGCTTCTCTGTTTATGGAATTTCCCAGGCAAGAATACTGGAGTGGGCTGCCATTTCCTTTTCCAGGGGATCTTCCTGGCCCAGGGATCAAACCTGCGGCTCCTGCACTGGCAGGCAGATTCTTCATCACTGAGCTACCAGGGAAACCCAGTGCTCTTTTTAGATATTTTATATCTAGTGTATGTAAGTCAGATGGTTCAGTGGTAAACAATCCGCCTGCCAATGCAGGAGCCGCAGGAAATGTGGGTTCGACCCCTGCGTTGGGAAGATCCCCTGGAAAAGGAAATGGCAACCCACTCCAGCATTCTTGCTGGGATAATCCCATGGACAGAGGAGCCTGGCAGGCTACAGTACATGTGGTAGGTAGCAAGAGTCAGCCACGAATTAGTGACTGAGCACACATGCAGGTATATATGTCAATCCCAATCTCCCAATTCATCCCACCCCCCACTTCTGCCCATGGTAACCGTAACTATGTTTTGTAATCTGTGCCTCTATTTCAGCTTTGCAAGTAAGCTCATCTGAATTATTTTTCTAGATTCCATATATAAGCAGTATTATATGGTATTTGTCTTTTTCTGACTTACTTCACTCTGTATAACAATTTCTAGGTCCATCCATGTTGCTGCAAATGCCCCTGCTTTCTTCCTTTTATGGCTGAGTAATATTTCATTATATATATGCACCACATCTTCTTTATCCATTCCTCTGTTGATGGACATTTAGGTTGCTTCCATGTCCTGACTATTGTAAATAATATTCCTAAACACTTTTTATATGTTCATTCCTTTTCATCACTACTGACTCTGACTACTTCAAGTCTTTCTTCATCTGTCTTGAGCCATTGCTTTTAACAATTCAACATGACTATTTCTTCATACCCTCCAATCTACCATCCACATTGAGGCCACAGTAAACTTTCTAAAATATTCCTCCAGTCATGTCATTTTTTAGTTTAAAATACTTCCACAGTTCCCCAAAGCCTGCAAATAAAATATAAACACTCCCAGCTCTAGTCCCACATCTAATACTGTAGTAATCCATCCTGTTTTATGCCTTATGTGCATACCACGTGCCAAGCTACACTGAGTGCTCTATACACATACAGTACTTCATTTAATACTTAAAATAACCTATGAGTTATTTCTCTCATTTTATAGATGAGGAAACTACAATTTGATTGCCCAAGGTCCTACTACAGTGTGAATGTCAGCGTCAAGACTCAAACTAAGGTGTAAGTCTGAAGCTTATGTTCTTCACTACTGCATTATACTGCCTCTGTTTTAGATCAGAACTTTTAAATGGAAAAAAAAAAAAAGGTATAAATTTTGGCAGCTCTCAGACCATTAGAGCTCCACTATTGAAAACTACCATTGTAAAAGTTTGTCATTCTGTTTCAATGAATACTCATTTGTATCCATTGTTTTTCCAATGCTGAATGATAACTGTGTATTATGTTGTACAGTTCAGAGAATACGTTACTTCTAGTTAGTTTTATGATTGTGGTTATAAGCTAATGTCTTTAAAATATATCTTTAGAAACTACAGTATAAGAGGCTAGTAGAGTATGATGAGGAGTCACCCAGAGAACTTGAGTAAAGTCAAGGGTCCCTTCCTCAGTTTCTAATTCAGTAGGTCTAAAGTTGCATTTCCAGCATTTTCCCATGTGATGCTAAGGCTGCTGGTCTGGGGACTACACTTTGAGAGTCACTGGCTTCCGAGAAACACACACTACAGAATATTACATATTAGGTATTTGTATTCCTTCCCTTTCCTTTCCTTTGCTCTCTAACTCATATTCTTCAGAACAAAAATTAAGAAATCTTTTAAAGAATTCCTATGCACACACAAAAAAAGCAGTATAAGACCTAAAATCAGGTAACTCTTTTACCCTGGCAGGACACAAATTTCATTTACTGTTTATTTACACATTGTTTAAATCCAAAAAAGTGGTAGCTTACCATAAAAGACACACATACAACAAGAAAAAAACATCTGTCATTGGCCTCACTGTTTTGGCCTGAAAAATATCTATTTATTTGAACTGCCTTCATATGACTTAAAATTCAGAAGAGGTCCATACTGAAAATGACTACTGCTATTAAGTATATGAATTCAGAAAAATGGATTTCAAAAAGGAAGACATGAAAAGCGTGCATCACCACTCTCTCCTCCAGAGCATTCCCAATTAGAAATATATTATATGACTATGTCTACTGCCATACCACCCTGAACGCGCCCGATCTCGTCTGATATCGGAAGCTAAGCAGAGTTGGGCCTGGTTAGTACTTGGATGGGAGAAATATATTATATGACTATAATGCAGGGTCCATCTAGGTAGTTAGATACTTTCTCTGATACGGGGTCAGAAGAACTGCTCCTTTATGACAGATCTCATACTAGCTGGGTCATTCTGGATGAATGATATAGTCTCTCTGAGTTTCCTTATGTGCAAAACAAAGATATCACATTTCCCATATCTATAAATGTTGGGTATTACCTTCATCACACTAGTTAAATGGTATTCTCTCTCCTATATAACTAATTTGGCTATAGGAACCAATAGACGCTTGTTGCTCTCCATTACTGAGCATGATACCAATTTGCTACTGCATTCTTTAGGTAGATATAGTGGCTCAGATGGTAAAGAATCCACCTACAATGCAGGAGAATAGGTTCGATCTCTGGGTCAGGAAGATCCTCTGGAGAAGGGAATGGCAACCCACTCCAGTGTTCTTGCCTGGAGAATCCCAGGGATGGCGGAGCCTGGTGGGCTGCTGTCTATGGGGTCGCAGAGTCGGACACGACTGAAGCAACTTAGCAGCAGCAGCAGAGTAACACTTTCATAGCATTCTTTATCAATTCTCACTGATTTTGTCTGAACCTTCACTTTAAGCCTACTCAAGTAAAAACTATTAAGAATATTAGCTTTTTGACAAGTCAGTGAAATAAAGGAATATTATTTAGCCATTGGTAACCTGAGCAATAGAGAAATTAAAATAAATAAGATCTAAACAACTAGAGAAAAAATAGAAGAGATACTGGTAAAACAGATTTAACAACAAACATAAGGTGTGAACTTTATTTAGTCCCTGATTCAAACATACCAGCCATAAACAGACATTTGGGGGACAATTTATAAAATCCTGATATGGGCTAGAGAACAGATACTATGTGTTAATTTTGTTAAGTGTGTTAAACAATGAAATGTCCTTATTGTTTTTAAAAACACTTAAGTAGCGAGGGATAAAATTCCATTATTTCTGGAGTTTGATTTAAAATAATTCAGCAAATATAACAGCTTATTATGGAAAAAACATTTATTATGGTTAAATCAAAATGCTGAAAACACAGGAGTTTCTTTTCCTATTACCTCTACTTTTATATATATTTGAAGATTTACATAATGAAATGTCAAAAAATATGTAACATCAAATTTATATCAACCTAACCCTAAATGCCACTAAAATGGGCTTGCCTGGTGGCTTAGATGATTAAGAATCTGTATGCAATGTGGGAGACCTGGGTTCAATCCCTGGGTCGGGAACATTCCCTGGAGAAGGGAATGGCAACCCATTCCAGTATTCTTGCCTGGAGAATTCCACGGACAGAGGAACCTGGCAGGCTACAGTCCATGGGGTTGCAAAAGGTCAGACATGACTGAGCAACTAAAACTTTCACTTCTACTAAAATATATAAGCCTTCCAACATGGTACCAGTCCAATAAAGAGTCATGGCCTATAAACCAAATAATGTTTCACAAAAATAGCTCTAATAGATACATTTCTCATAGTAAACTTACCTCCGGTGTAGTGACTCCGAAAATTTAAGGCTGGCATAAATAAATTCTTTAACTTGAATATAAATATGAGGCACTGACTGAGACATGGGCAGTTTCTTTGGGAAAGGTTGCTGTTGAAAGAAAAACGAGTTGATATTATTTCTGAAATTTTAGAAAAAGAAATCCTAAACACCTAAAAATGTAAAAATTAAATTTACTTCACATCTGAATTAACAGTTAATACCTGCATTTTAAAGTCTACTGTGTTACATTTCAATGTTATTTTTGAGGAGGAGAACCAAAATATTTCTGAAGAAAAACATATAGCAATTTATCTGTTTCTTAAATCTTATTATCAGACTTCTAACAAGCACAGAAAGCAGATAACAATACCTCTATGTGTTCTGATGATAAGTATTCTACAGAAGATACATAACTGCCTGTTTCTTTGCAGCCATAATATAAGAGTGAAGTTTGTTGTGAAAGTTATGGGCGAGCTTCCTGGCTTAGTATCATCAAATAATTCTAAGACTCCCTTCATTTGCTTGAATTGATATCAATTCAAGACGGTACCCATTTCATTCCATAACTCTTAGAATACCTTACAGCAGCTTTCTGACCTGTATACCACCAAACACCAGAATGCAGCTAACGGTTTACAGTGTGCTTCTTGATTAACATGCTTTACCAGCCAACATCCACTAGCAAATTCTCAGCTCTAAAAGGTAAACTCTTGACAATTTTTACCAAGAGCCCTCTATTTACACTTTATGAAATCTAATCTTCACTTTTATCTTCAGATGCATTGCAACTTAGTTTACATCATTGAAAGTACTCTCATCAAGATCACCAATGACCTGGTAAATGTTAAATCCATGCGAAATGCTGGGCTGGATGAAGTACAAGCTGGAATCAAGATTGCCAGGAGAAATATCAATACCTCAGATATGCAGATGACACCACCCTTTTATGGCAGAAGGTGAAGAACTAATGAGTTTCTTGATGAAAGTGAAAGAGGAGAGTGAAAAAGTTGGCTTAAAACTCAACATTCAGAAAACTAAGATCATGGCATCTGGTCCCATCACTTCATGGCAAATAGATGGGGAAACAATGGAAACAGTGAGAGACTTAATTTTGGGGGGCTCCAAAATCACTGCAGGTGGCGATTGCATCCATGAAATTAAAAGATGCTTGCTATCCTCTATGACCCACCTCCCAGAATATTGGAAATAAAAGCAAAAATAAACAAATGGGACCTAATTAAACTTAAAAGCTTTTGCACAACAAAGGAAACTATAAGCAAGGTGAAAAGACAGCCTTCAGAATGGGAGAAAATAATAGCAAA